AAAAAAAAAAAAAAAAAAAGAAAGAAAACCAACATATAGTTGTTGAGTTCTTGTGAAATGTTCATGGTTGGGCAATAACATTTCTAGTAGAAAACTGAGGGGCTGACATTCGTTACCGATGCTGAAGCTGCTGAAAATTCTTCCTGTGATAATGAACAGAGCAATTAGTGAGGTCCTGAAGGAGGGGAAGCTTTAGAATCAAGACTGATAGGTTGGCTATAATTCTAAGAATAGCTAGATAAATTTTTAATCCTCAGTTTGTTACTTGGGTGTCCCAATTTTTAATCAACTTGGATTAGAAAAATTTGTCATCATACTTTTTGAACTCATTGAAGGCTTTAAGTCAATTTATCCTTGGTTTTCATGCCTATTTGTTTCTTTTTGATAGGAAACAGTACCACACAATTTAAAGAAAATGGAATAACATGAAAAAAAAGGGAGAAGAGGTATGAACTTAAAAAGATAGTCATAGGGATTTCAAATTTTTCGACAATTAACATTGATTAAAAAGAAACCCTAATTTAAAAGATACAGAAGAATAGGCTTTTTAAAGAAGCCTTGAGCATCTCATAGATCTCATACTCCCTACAAACTTGTCTTGCGAAAGGTTGGCCAAATAAATAGTGGCATTATGGTATGAGGATCTGCAGATATTGCAGTAATTAATGTATGGAACTACAAAAGAGGGAGGAAAGCCCCAATCCAAGGGAGTAACACAAAATAATCTCCATTTGGAGGAAAGCTTGGTACAAAACTTTAGAAGCCCGTGAATGCATGTGAACAAGTATCATTCACTTAATCCCTTGCAAAACAAAGTTATATTGAGATGTGTGGATATTGACCAAGCTAAAGTCTTCTATCATCAAGTTGGTTGGCAGAATGTTGGTCCATGTCGCTGAATTTGTGCAATGGAGTGAGAAAGGCTTCTTAGTAAACAAAGTGGTCCCTCCGATAGGGGTTGGGTTAAAGTTAGATACCTCCTTCTTAATAGATGGAGTCGTGACACGCTAACCTTCATTTTATAGGTTTTTGGTTGTTTTCTTTTGATGTGCTAAAATAATCTTGTAGAGGGCTTGACCTCATAAAAATTTGCATAAAAATTAAAGTAAATTTCTTTTGCTTCAGCCTTGCAAATAACCTTCTGTCTTCATGTTTTCAACTTCTTTTCCAATCACTGTTCAACTTAACCATTTTTTCAACTTGGCTTATTACATGGGAAGAATAGATCGTATTCATGGGGCCTTTTTCTCAATAGCAATCATGGCTTTTGAGCTGGAAAGGAGGAAGCAAGTATAGGCTTTTGTGCAATAGTCTTTACCAATTGATCCAATCCCTTTAACCAACCACAGATATCTATCCTTTGGATGATGACTTATCAACGATTGTTTCCATGTATCTTGTTAAGCCACATTTTTCCTGTAGAGTTGGGCCACCAGCCCTATGCTAGTTGTTGAACTGGGCTTTTCCTTTGTCTTTTTCGACACCCACCACACTATCCTTCTCAACTTGAAGCATGGCTAATGTCAGCCCCCCTTACTGATCTTGTTCCCGTACTACTGACCCAGTCTTATCTAATCATCCATATTCTTTGTCATCATTTAGGTATGTTTTTCCCCTGCAAGAAAAAGAAGTCCGCTATTTTAACTCCAATATAATATATCTGTCCAAACTTTAGTTGCCAACAGAACCAAGCACTCCACCTCTTGCTGACAGTTGCCAGGTTTGGATATTAATTATTCCCTCCTAAACACTTCCTTGAGACAAATATTGAGGGGCTGTGTGCTGCCTTTCTTTACCATCTTCAGTGGCTCTTAAAGCCCCCTCCCAACAAGGTTGGAGCATTTTAACTCCTAAACACCGCCTGTTGACAGCCAAAGCCAAGCCAATCAAGGTTGGAGCATTCCCTATCAAAGTGGCACTTTTTGTCTCATCTAAAACAGGCCTTCCTTCCTGTCCAAGATTGAGGGGCATAGGGGGTAGAAACCTCCCCTAAAATTGCTGCTGAGGGACCTTGCTGGGATAGGTTGTATATGATGGGAGGAACCTCCTCATAATGCCATACGTGGAACCAACCTCAAAGCTGGGCTTCTCTTTTCTGCTAATATTCTTGTCCATGATCAGAGGACCCCTAAGTGCTGGAGCAAAGGTTAATGCTTCTTAAGATGCAGAAATTTGGTCTCTCTGTCATCTATCACCGTCTCTAAAAAATAGTACTTCTGCAGTAAATCCTTGAATTTCGTCCACATAATGAGTTCCTTGGCGTGAGCATTAAGATCCTCACCAAAAGGATCGACTATGCTCATAGAGGCAAATATTGGAAAATCATCAGTGACTGTCCCAAAAACACTCTCTTGGGATCAAATAACCAGAAGCACTCTCTGGAAAATAGAAGATGCAAATCTTCCAAAAAGGAAAGAATCTCAAAGAAATCAGGAAGTCTGCAGGAACAGGCAAGCAGCTCTGTACCAAAGGTTGATGAGTCAATACCAATACTCAGACCGGCAAATCTCGAAATCTTTACAAAAAGGATTTCAAAAGAAGAGGCTGCGATGGCCAAGATAGAGGAAAAGTTAGACAGGATATTAAATCCGGCCATGACGCCTCATGATTCATCTGTCAATGTCGTTAACAATGACGACGAGGATCAAGATTTCGAAGACGAGATTGCAAATGAGAGAGAAGAACCTTTCTATAATCGAATTGAAAGGATCTCTAGAAGAAGTCAAAATAATGCCAGTAATCAGAAAAACTGGTATCCTCAACCGTCTTTTCCAGATATCCAGTTCGAAGAAAAGACACTACAAACTCAAGCTCATTACGATGGTTTAGCAATCTATGAATGGAATATCGATGGATTGTCTGACTATCTGATAATGAATGTTGTCAATGAGATGATGATGGCCGCAGGCGCGTATAAATTACAAGGCCATAAATCCGACCATCAGATAGCTCAAGTTTTGGTAACCGGATTTACCGGGCAACTCAAGGATTGGTGGGACAAATATCTCGACGAAACAACCCGTCAACAGATATTAAACCACTATGTCATCAGACCAACTACTCAAATTATCAAAGAAGAAGGTCCATCAACTAGGACCGAGGTACAACATGAAAGAATAGAGGATGCCGTCAACACCCTCATATATACCCTCATAGAATTCTTCGTCGGCGACCCTCTAAAATACCAGGAGAGATCTGCCGAAATACTCATGAATCTGAAATGCCCTACCTTAGGTGACTTCAGGTGGTACAAAGACATGTACTTCAGCAAAGTTCTTATTAGAACAGATAGTTCGTTGGAATTCTGGAAAGAGAATTTCGTCAATGGACTACCAAAACACTTCTCAAGAAGGATCAAAGATGGTCTTAAGACAAAGTACAATGGAACGATTCCATGGCAAACTTTGTCATACGGATCCATAGCATCCTTCATCATAGAAGAAGGGCTCAGACTTTGTAATGAGTCAAAGATTCAAAA